CACACACACACACACACACACACACACACACACACACACACACACACTGATGTAGGCGAATTGGCACTGTGCTTCAGTGTGTCCTGATGACGAACGTTCATATGCAGAGCATTTTAATTAGCTGCTTCCTGGTTGACTTTCCGGTGACTAACACAGTTGCATGTGCTCCCATCAGACATGGTTTGATTTGTTCTTTCCATTGTCAAAGGGTTCCTCGCCATCTACCTCGAAGCGCTAACTTGTCCAACAGATGTCGTCGCAGATACCAGTTTTCGGAACCAGAAAATGCTAGAGATTCAGGTTTGCGTAAGTTACAGTATTTTTGCCTGTAGTGTAGTGCCCATTTATCGAAGAAACCCGTTTATGAAAAGTGGTTATGAAAAGTGTCTGGGATTTCACGCATCACACTACATGGATTGTTGCACCTTGTGCGGTCAAAGTACTAACTATCATCCACAGGCACAAAACACCACCGAACTCCCAAATTTAAATCATCTGAAATGGTGATTACATGACCGAATTGGTATCATTTTTAGCATCAAAACATTCTTTAACAAAACTCGTTCCTCCAACACCTCTGTCCAACTGTCAGGATAAATCACACTAGAATTCAACATACATCCAATCAACCGCCCCTCAACACATGAACCTACGTGCATGCTCGAGGATGTCTCGATCAGTCGACAGCATCTGTTCGTGTGTATTTCCTGTTTTCATTGAGAAAATTTCAAATTTAATGTGCTCAAGCGAAACAACTCAATGCACAGCACACCTCACAGACACAGTGCTTCAGTACACATATACACACACATGGGATCAAGAGGAACGCGATCTCATTTGTGAAATGCACGAGCACAAAATCATGGATCAAGTGAATGTTGCAAGAATTGATGCACAACTGTTGAGCAATAAATAATCACTCACCCGAGGTGTCTATAGTTATGGGTCGTTGGAGGTAAATACCACCGGAATCTTTCTGAACCTCGGATTCCAACTTTACGAGGTCCAAGATGACCGGATTCTTGAAATTGACTTCCACCTGGGCGTATATATGTGCTGGTTTTTCGCCTATCTTCTCCACTTTGGAAAGCGAACAACTACTGATCTGTTTTGCATGGTCAACCAATGCCTGGTACATCTGTCCACAGAAAACAGTGATGATTTTCGGGAATGCCAATCAAGTCGATCGCAATTAGTGAAGAATGCAGGGGAAACGTGGATATGACATGTTTTCATGATCATATATGAAAATTCATGGAATTGAAAATCGCTCCTAAATGACACACAACCATGCATCGAACTATTGAGCATTTGTTGAAAAAATACGAACTCAACTTTCATGCAAACAACATTTTTCGGAAAAAGAGAAATATGTTGTTT